TTCCTTTTTACCATGTTATTGGTAATATATTATTTATTTCCTAGACATAGGAGGTTTGTTTGTTTCAGATATCCTTTTATTACTAATTCCTAACCATTTTTCATAATGGTCAAGAGCACAAGATTTATATATTTTCTTCTTGGGATGTATCGAGGTTTCTCTTCTGGCCTAGTGTGTGTTCTGTTTTTGTACATATTCTGTGTGGGTTTGGAAAAAGTGTGTATTCTCTGTCAAGTGTCAAGTTCTAATTATGCATCTGTGTTAGGCTGAATGATGACCTCCAAAGATATCCATGTCTTAATCCCCAGAATCTTTCCTTATGTGAATATTTCCTAATGTGACAAAAGGGACTTTGCAAGATGTGATTAAGCTAAGGGTCCTGAAATGGAGAGATTATCCTGAATTATCCAGGTGATCCCTAGATGCAATCACACGTGTCTTTATAAGAGAGAGGCTCAGGGAGATTTGAGTACAGAGAGAAAGTGGCAATGTGATGATGGAAACAGAAGTTGAAATCATGCTGCCACAAGCCAAGGAATTCCAGCAGCCTACAGAACCTGAAGGAAACAAAGAACTGATTCTTTTCTGGAGCTCCCAGAGGGAACAAGGTTAAAGTCAAAATAAACCTCATTTGGACTTCTGGTCTCCAGAACCATAAGAGAATAAATTTGTGTTTTAACCACTAGGTTTGTGGTCATTTGTTACAGCAGCAGTGAGAAACTAATAGAGTATCTAATAACTCGAGCTTCTTAATTGCATAATTCTGATCTATGTCTTTGCTTACTTTTAGTCTGCTTGTTTTATCAGCTTCTGAGATGATAATTATATTAAAACCTCCAATTACACTTGTTGACTTGTGTATTTATCCCCCTGTGCTATCAATTGTTTTTTATATGTTGAAAGTGTGCATGTTGTTAGGTGCAAATATGTTTATGATGTCTATATCTTCTTTCTCTATTTATTACATTTGTCAGTGTTTAACACTCCTCTCTGTCTCCTAAGATATTTTCTTGCCTTTTATGCTATTATTTTGGATATTAAAATTGTTTCCCAGGCTGGCCAGTTAGCTCAGTTGGTTAGAGCACACTCTTGTAACACCAAGGTCATGGGTTTAGATCCTCAAACTGACTAGCCACCAAAAAAAAAGAAAAAGAAAAAAATTGTTTCCCAAGTTAAAAGTATAATATCTTTGGCTACTCTCACTAGAATAAATTTGAGGTAGTACTTTTTACCCCATTTCCTTTTGATTCAAACTCATGGTTTTTAAATACACACACACACAAATATATATATATTTATATATGTATACATACACACACAGATACAGAAATAAATGTATATGTCTGTGTGTATATGTGTGTGTTTATTGTAACCCACATGTATACTTGGGTTAGTATAAATACATATATTTCTTAGTTCTACCACTGAGAGAACTTAGAAACAGTGACATCCTGGTAACAATGAGCACACCTAATTTCCACATCTTGGCTACTAAATACCATTCTCCAATGAAAGGAAATAAGACTCTTTGGAAAAGTGGTTGGGGTAAAGAAAACACAAGATGAGCCAGAAGGCTTCTTGAGGTGCCAGAAAGTAAGAAAGTTATATATAAAAAAAAAGATAGCATATTAAAAGCCATATGAAAAAGCTCACAATGGCCAAAACTAAAACAAATTAAGCAATAAAACAAATAAGAGCAAAATGATAATAATATTGAATTATAATCCCAATAATAAAATCAATATTCACAAGACTAAACTAATGCAAATAAATGATTAAATAAGTATATGGGGGAGAAGAGACAATTTTTCCTTAAGGGAGAATACAAATTAATAAAGACACAAATAAGGGGAATAAAAAATAACCATTAGAATACTACATGGATGAGGAGAATTACTATGGAATAAAGGATCATAATTCAAAGGAATGGATTGTTCACTATACCATTTACATTTTCCCAAAGCAATATATTTTAGTTATTGTTTCAGGTAACAAATGGTACACTCAAAGTGTTATATTAAACAGTGTGATGAGGGACTATGTGCAGAGATGTGGGCAGGATTAAGAGAACCAACAAGGGTACGCAAAGCATCCCAATGCACGGGTCTGAAAGGTCAAGGGGAGACTACCTTGAACCCAGAGAGAGCTTCAGCCCTGCAGGCAGGGTCTCCAGATGGAAGCAGACAGGGTGCATTGCAGAGAAATGCACCAACTGACAAAACTGCAGTGAAGTAAATGGGAAATGTGGAAAACAAAAACCCAACTTCTCTCCCTTGCCTTCTGGTCTGTTGTTGCCTCTCACTGGTCAAACCCAACAAGAAGCCAGAGGCAGGGAGTCTGGTTGGTGCAGTCCACAGAGGTCAGCCTCCAGGGAGATCCAGCAGTGCAAGAGGTATAGAGAATGGCTCCAGAGGGACAAATGGAGAATACATTTACTTGAATAAAAAAGAAAACATGAATTTTAATGTCATTTAAATCACTTATGTGAATTAGGAAAGAAATAAAAAATTTTAAAATCTGAGAGATGGAGAGGAAGGTGCTGGACCAGCCCAGCTCTGGGACCTTTGTGAGTGACCCCCAGCCCAGCCCCGCTTGGGGGTCAAAGGCCCGCCCGGCCCCCGCTTACCACACTAGGCTAGGTGCCGGCACCACTGCTGCCTCCATTTTCTCTGAGGGGGGCGGAGCCGGCCGGCTCAGATCGGGCAGACCAGCCATCTTCGCTTGGCGCGGCTCCTCACTGAGCCGTGCCACTTGCGTGCATCAGCACAGGGCCCCCCGGGGCCTGTGGAGCGGCCACCAATCCCACTCCTCCCGCGGATCTCTTGCGGGGCTGGTGGAGTGGGGATCCCCTGGCCAGCGTCGGGAGGGCAGGGAAGAGGATCCCGGCCAGACTGTCACTCCACCACACCTGGGGCCTCGGCCCCAGGTAAACTCCCTGCTTCCAGGAGGCAGATACCATTTCTGTGGCCTTCAGTTTGGAAAAATCCCAGACTGATTTCTGGTTGGGAGAGGGGTGACCGGGGTGCCCCGAGCCCGCTTGATCCTGCCGAAGAGCTGGCCTGAGGGCGCCGAACAGGCTCACACCGGGGGGATTCAAAGAGGAACTGTGTGCTGTGAGATCCTCCCCCGGGGGGCTCACACCCTGGTGTGGGAGATAACTCAACCACACAGGGGGCCG